ATTGCAATTTATTAAATTTATAGATTATGAGACTTATTATGTTCATAGAGCACTCAGTCTGAAGTCATTTTCACAAAGCCACTCCTATGTTAAAATTTTATCTTAAGATATAAATTAACTTAGTAAAAAATACGATAAATCTTACGATAAAAACATCCCTAGCAACGTTCATTTGATATTGATGTGCATGCTCTATATTTGTTTCCTGTTTTAAAATCAAGTAATAAAGAGCTTGAAATGTCTATTGAACACAATCAAGTTTCAATAAGAAAAAAAAAATATTCAAACTTATATATTTGCTATCTTGATCGGAAATAATTATACATATATCTAAAAGATTCAGACAGAAGGTCTGCTGTGTTATTAATAATAAAAAAGGTACCACTAGCACATGCTGGTAATAACATCGAATTCACCAAATTGTACAAAACATTAGTTTACAATAATTCTATATACTGTACTTCACATATAAACTAGTCATAACCCATTCCACCATGACGTCATCAAGTCATAACGTCACAAATGTTAATGTTGGAAAAAATATTTTTTTTACTTAATTTGTGTTATTTTTAACATATTGTTTGCTTATAATATATTTGTTCTTCCATGTTTTGTTTGTTTTAATTCTGTTTATATGAAGATATATGATATTTGAAACAAAATACACTTACGAACGGGGAACCCCTATCGTAAAGTTACGACAGATTTTACACTTAAGATTTTCTTAACATATTTTGTAAAAACGGAGATTTATCGTAAGGTTTCACTTACGATAAAAAAAATTGTCGTAAGTTTTTATTTATTTATTTATTTTGAAAATGGCTGCTGGCTTGTGTAATCTAGAATTAATTTCTTTAAAAGAAGCTTCGTAGAAAAAGGAAACGATGTTACATCAATACAACAACAATAACGTTATAGTTTTACTGATAATGACAAAACAAACATAACTGTTGATGAAAGAAAACACACAAATAATCAATAAAGTATACATGTAAAAGATAAGAACTATGTTTATTTTATTGTGTGTGTGTGTGTGTGTGTGTGTGTGTGTGCGTGCGTGTGTGTGTGCGTTTGCTTCCTTCCTATTATCCTCCTTCCAAATGACACTGTGAACTGCATGTTTTAGAATCAGGCAATGTATTTTGACAGGTTCAAACATTGCGGTAGCTTTCTGAGCGTTTTACTGTGCTATATATTTATATGCCATTTATTTCGCCTCAACTATTTGATTCTTTTGTTGGATCTATTTTGAATTACGCATGTCCAATATGGGGTTTCTCTAAATCTAAAGACCTTGAGAGAATTCATATTAAGTTTTGTAAAATTATACTAGGAGTAAAACAGAGCGCATGTAATTCTGCAATATATGGTGAGCTTGGGCGCTATCCATTATATGTTAACAGATATGTTCATATCATTAAGTATTGGTTTAAGTTAATGAATACAGATAATATTATTTTAAAAGGTATTTATCAAAATGCGCTAGAACAGTGTAATTTAAATGGTACAAAAAACTGGGCATACCTTGTTAAAAATTTGCTAAATGAATATGGATTTTCTGATGTTTGGAATTGTCCACAAAGATTTGAAGTAAAAACATTTATACCGATTTTCAAACAAAGGGTTGTAGATTGTTTTAAACAAAAATGGTTTGCTAATATAGCTGTCAATAATGTTTTGAATACTTTATATGCATATGTTAAAACTAGCTTCGGTATGGAAAATTACCTTAATTTATTATCTTGTAAATCTTCAAGAATTTGTCTCACGAAATTACGTATATCTGCTCATAAGTTAAGAATTGAATCTGCCAGGTATGGCCGGAATAGGTTGGAAAGACAGGAACGTATCTGCCAAGTATGTGATATCAACGAAATTGAAGATGAATTTCATTTTGTACTTAAATGTAAAGCTTATAAAGTATTGCGAACTAAATATATCAAACGTTATTATTATGTTCATACTAGTATGTTTAAATTTCTAGAATTGCTACAGTCAAATAATAAAGGCGTTCTGATCAATCTGAGTAAATACATAAGCTCAGCCAATAAAATTAGAAATGATTTAATGCAAAGAATTTAATAAATGTTTGAAATAAAAAAAGTTTTCTAGACTAGACAGTATTATTTGAAATCGTATAATATATGCATCAAGATTCTTACTTTTTTTTCCTTAAGTGAGAATTATCTTGACATGATTACATCGAAGTTATGCTTTTCAATATGTTATATTTATGTTATATTTAAATATATGAAATTACCACATACGATTGTCAGAACGCGCTGGTTCTTTAAACACCAACTTTGAAGTTATTTCAATTATGATAATTTGTTCATTCTCTGTGAAACACTGAAAACATTGTTTGCTTATCACGTGCTTATCATTGTATGTATTTAATTTGATGTTGTATTAACAAGATACATGTATTGTGTACGTTAATAAAAATTCTGTTCTGTTCTGTTCTGTATATAAAAGCGAGTATCCATGCCAATCCTTGAATTTCACATGAAAAGGTAATATTATAAAAAATACTGGTCATTTACGTCGCAAAGAATCTGATGCACTGCAACAGGAAACATGTAGCACCAGATGACTATATTAGTAAAGCAGCAGACGACTATACTGTCAACTGAGAGGAAATTATAAGGTTAATAACTGGTGGTCAGACATAAAAAATGTAATACATGTTGTATTTGCACCACATGTCAGATATTGTCTGAGCAGCAAAATAAATGCAAAAACAAGTGGTGTTTTATCCTTCCTTCACGTTTATTCCCCGGGCGCGGAGCAATAACAAATAAAACTGTTATAATTTATCGCTTTATACAATGTCATTAACACATTGGTTTAGGAAAAATCATTTTAAAAGATAACGTGATATTCAACTATTATGAATAGATATACATGCATAAGTAAATAGAAATTAACATTTGTGTAGAATACTATTAAATTTATTTTCTAAACCGTCCAGAAGTGTTGAATATATAGAAAAAGATGCCATAAAAATGTAAATACAAAAGACTTTTAGATTTGTGTTTTATAGAAACATGAACAAAAATGAAGTTTCTTATCAAACTAATTAATTATATGAACATTATATATGAATATGTACTAACAGCTAACTATTTTTAGACATTGGGCAAGCTGTTTAGCGTTTTAATATGACAGTGGTCAGTTCATGATTGAACATGGTGACAAAAATGACCGGTACATTTGATTGATAATTTTTTATTTTACGATTATACAACTAGCAACATGTTGGTTTCTGACCTGGCGGGTGTTAATGACTATTTAAAATTAATGATCAAATATCGCTTGTGAAGAAGAAATTGTATCTTTGCCAACTATGACAACGAATAACATTAGTGTATTAACATCTCTTTTTTTAAGTTGATTATTTGTTTAAATTACAACTTACCTTTACTTGAGTCATACTTTTTCTTGTAAATTGTGTTCAATAAATTAGGAGAAAAACAGAATACACATTTTACTTAGAATGTGTATAATATATACATAAGTTCGTAAACATAAATTTTTTATATAAATTAATAATTAACTAGTAGTTTAAATATAATGCCATGTCATTTAAATTATTAAATTAATTTTAATGTACTACTGGTATTCACGTTCAAGAAGATCAAAAATAAATTAAGTAAAAGAGTTTTTTTTCAAATAACCTTACTTGATGCTCTACATTTTTTGATAGCTACATCTTATAATGATTGATATATTCACATGGACAAGTAGTAGTAATTAAATAAGTAATGATTAAATAAGTCTCTATAGCATAGTGTTCATAAATTGATAAAAAACATTTTAAAGAAAAACATATACATCATTTGTCCACGAGACACCATTTCAATACATTTAATAAATGAAAATGCCGAGATTGGCATTTCCCCATTTATTTTCGTTAGCATGGTATTTAAGGAATCAACTATTATCTTAATCACTCTCTTTAATTCGCATATTGTGAAATATATTTTCATGTTACATTATAATTAATAGAAGACGAATATAGAACGAGTTGTCAGCAATACAGCAATACTTTGTTTAAAATTAAAAAAGCGAAATGTTTGTGTTAATTGTGTTAATTGTTAATTTCTTTATTAATCTTCCAACCTGGTTGTAATATTTTTCAAAGATGGGTATCTAGGCCGGACATGTTTGTAAACATCTGTGTCTAGTTGAGGTGGTGTCATATGTACCATAACACTTTGAAGGAACATTAATTTAGAACATTTAAGGCCATTATAACAAGATAAATGTTTACGATTCCATGACAAGGAATCGTGGCTATTCACACTGATTTAGTAAAATGTTACCCGATGTGCCAAGGTTTATGAATATAGTCCCTCGATTTGGTCAATGTTACCAGATGTAAGGGTGCCAAAGTTTCATAGTATAGTTCCATTTTTAAATCATATCTTGCTAAATGAAAGGTTACCTAAGTACCATGCAAAGTATCATTGTTTAGTAAAATGTTTCTACTCTTGCAATATTTGGGATCTCGGTAACGATTGTATTTATTCTTTACTTAATGTATCCTTAAATCTTGGCACCCTAACATCTAACCTAGCAACATTGACTTAGTCATGGGAGTATTAATTTCGAAACTTTGGCATATTTATTTATGATAATTAAAAAAGATTTTAGTTATAATTATGATAATGGTTGGCAAATTTCAACTACAATGCTACTGATTGCAGTATGGTTGTAACATTTATTGCCAAGCTGCAGATACTGAATGTTGCGATGATAATTAGACACCCACCAGGAGTGTTGGCTGTTGGTTTTCACTATGAAAGGAAGGCATTCGTTATCAAAGCAAACCAAAGGCGTTTTTATATAGAAATCAAATCAATCTAACATATTCATTTCGGGGCATTGACACATCCCGTAAGTGTATCACTTGTATAAATGTCAATCAATACCATACTATAGTATTGTCATATATTTAGCACCATTGAATCTTCACATATCTTATTAGAGCTGTTTAAATAATATAATGACCACAAAACATACAATGCAAACAAACTGGCCTAATTATGTGAGTATAAATGTACTATTTGGACAGTGGCATGTTATTTTGCAACCAAAGTTTTGAGTAAAATGAGAGCTTTAACATTCTTGACTATTCTGACATTGACGGTACTGTTAGTGGTGGAGCAATCGGGTAAGTGGAAAGATAATTTTATACCTTTTTGAAACTTTGAAAGCGTCACAATGAAGTAACCTTAAGCTGGTCTCATGAACAATAGACAATTGTCAATAAACTACAATTTAACATTGTTGCATTATATGCTTGCAATTTGACTATGAGCTATTATATTCTATAAACTTCTTAAAAAGTTAAGTATTTGCTAATACAGCTGAGCTATACATACAGGATCTTAATGTATCAAGTTTTAAAATAGCTATTGATAAATAAATCTAAGTATGTTTAATTGGCATGATAAGTAAGTCTTTAAAAATATCTAGGGTATACCTTTACAAAAACAACAGTTTTTACATATATTTCGACCGCGTTCTCCTTTAACTATTATAAATTATAATTTGTTCAACATTGTGTTACATGTACATAGTCCTTTAACTCAATAATAAAACATTTAGCATTCCTATTTTCAGAATCAACACGGAATGTTTGTCCACAGATAATGTGTCCTAACGATCATAAAATTCCGAAAAAATGCAGACAACCAAATTTTATAGTTGGTATAGACGGCAAGACCCAGTGTCGAGTATGCGATTCCAATGGCTGTGCAAGAAGTTAACGTAGGTAAGTCTTTAATTCATTTTATTTAATTTAAGATGTAACTTTTATGGTTTTTATTGAAATTACTCTCCAGGTCTCTGACCCATATCATAAAGTCTAAAGAGTTATATGGAGAATTAAAGCTTACAATGTTGTCTTCTTTGTCCATCACGACCACTCAATCCAAAACTTTTAACATTGAATATATTAGATTATGCTTTAATCCGCCACCAGGAGACATAAGATAAAAGTGCTTTTGGGTGTACTATATGCATTGAGACATTAAAACATAGCCTTCGACATTTTATTTTACCCGATTATCCAGCTTTGAGTGAATCAGATTTGATTTGCAATAATATTATACGTTAGAAGTCATTAGATAGTAGAAAATACTTATTTCTTTATTTTGGGTTTAATAAACGTATTTTTCCTATCTTGTCTGAAACAGACTTGTGTAGATTCCATATTATGGGTATGTATTTCTCTTTTATTTCAGAAAAGGCGATCAATGGAACATAATTTTTTGTTTTCTGTATTCAGAATGTACACTGCTGCTTAAGACAAATAGAATATGAAATAAACAGGAAAAAGAAATGTTTATTGTTTTTAATCTTCTATCCTAAGCTTATTTAACAGCAGGTGTCAAGTGCTGTGTGGCAGCTGTAAAAAGTTGCCCCGTACTTCACTTCAGTGTTGTTAATTTTTTCTGGTCCTTTGGGATCATTGATGCCAGCACTATTAAGTACTCAAGCCGGTACTATGGGGCGTTAGGGATGTTGCACCTATTTATTATCCTTCATGTACAGACTCAATCAAACCGAGTCTGCAATTCTCTTGTAATTTTGTTGTGATTTATTCTTCCGAGGGATCACTTTGTTTCCAGATTTTTATTGTTTTTTTAATTAAATTAAAACTTGATTTTAATAGATTGAGTAACTTAATATGATTAAATAAATTAGGTGACAAATAGTATTCTATTTTAATTAAGATATAAGCATCGCATGTCAGTCGGTGAAATAAATATAACTCAACCTAACAAATATCTAAAAGCGAGATGACTTTCGATATCTAATAAGCTCGTTAATGATGATTAATTACATAATTTTGCATTCATATGAAAGTACAATGTATAATTATTTGCTATAACAAATTATTTCCTTTCACGCAAAAACAAAAAGTAACGAATTTTATTGGCAAATTGGTGATTTATTTAAGGTTTGGCGGAATTGTGCTAATGACTTGTGAATAATTCTAACAATTTGATATATGGATACAAATAAATGTATATGTTTCATGTACATTGTATATACCGACAACATGATATTTTGACAAAATATGCCTTTAGCATGTTAACCAAAATGCTACTATTATATGAAGACAAGTAAATAATGCTTGATTCAACAGATAATGATAATGTTTTGTCAACCTAAACATCAAAAAACAGTTAATTCAACGTCAGCCCTGGCAACGGAAGCAGCTGGCAATACCTGTGTTATTTGCATGCTAACCGTATGAATTCTGAAGCTGTTACTGCTTCAACGGATACACATTATGGTTCCCAACCATAACATAATCAACAGACAACAGTTATTTCTTTGGGACAGGGCGTGGTAAAAATTGCGTAAATTTAAAACTATGTTTCAATAGAAATCATTTGAATTTGAAGAATGACTTTTTACCTTCTTGTACCTGTATCTGTGCAAAAGATAAATCTTGATTTTTGACCAATCAGGCGGCCTGTTTAAATACCCGATTTTGAATGAAATAAAAATTTCAACCTATAGCGATTGAACTTTTGTCTTACAGTATGTATTCCATTTTTCTCAAAAAAAAGCAAACATGATATTTATTTATGAATACCGGTACGTTGTATTTATCACTGACGTCTGAAGTGATCTGAATTTCTTAAAGATACATATGTATAAGACAAAATATGAGAATAAAATTCAGGACAATATGTCAGACAAATAAATGATGTTCAGTGACATAGCATAAAACACATTGTGTACCTAAGCAAAATTGAAAATCATTCAGAATTTGAATATTTATCAATTCTTAAAGAAACGACCAAAAACTTGATGTTACGTGAGCTATTATCCTATTTAAATGTATAAATTAACTAAAGTAAATCTGACCTTATAAGATATATGATATAAAAACATAGATTTTCATTTTTTTAAATATCTAACAACGAACATTTTATTAATTTACATGAACAAATAATGAAATATTTTTCTTTTTTTTTAAAAAAACAACACGCACAGGTAATGAATATTCATTAGAAAATTATAAATATGAATAAATCGCACAGTGTAGACATTTATTAAGTTACAATACCTGATTATTCTATTCTTGATAACAAACTGTTAACTTTTCGATAAAATTGCTGTTTCAGCAATATTTTATTTTGCAGACAAAATTATCACTAATGAAAGAAAGACATGGCATTTAACAGTTGATATGCAGTCTGTGTTTAATCCTAAGATTCATCAGAGATTTGAGCCGCGTCACGACAAAACCAACATTATGGGTTTGCGACCAGCATGGATCCAGAGCAGCCTGCGCATTCGCGCAGTCTGATCAGGATCCATGCTGTTCGCTATCGGTTTCTCTACTTGTTATAGAGTTTGTAAGCGAATAGCATGGATCCTGATCAGACTGCGCGGTCGCAAACCCATTATGTTGGTTTTGTCGTGACACGGCTCATTTGTTATTAACCTTTGGCATGCAAAACCGAAATAAAACGAGAGATATGTCGTCCTCATCAAGCTTAACGGTGAAACAATGAATGACATATGTGATTATGTCTCTGTAAATGAATAAACAAGGAATAACATTCTTATGACCTTGCGTATTTGCTTAAGGTCCCGCAGAAACTTTTTGTTATTTATATTTTCAGTATCTGTTAACTTATTTATAACACAGATGTGTACATTAATTGTGGATGGAAGCTCTTTTTGACTGTTGAAATGATAGAAAATTTATTTTATATATTATATAATGATATGATATATATCAATTTGAAAGTATTTGTTATTGAATATCACATTTTAAACTTTAAACATTATATTAAAATATATAACTAATGTCACAAATTCAAATTTTGAATACATTGTTTTTATTAATATTTTGTATCATTTTTGTATGATTTTGTATTATGAACCAGTCATAATATAATTAGTATGTTCTGTTTCGTTCCGTTCTATTAAAGATGCATGTCTCCAAAACAAATTATTTACTTTTTCAAGAAAATCAAACGGAAAAAAATGTTCTAACATTTACAGATAAGTAAAACAATTCAATTTTTAAGTAATACCTGACATAATATGTAAAGTTAATTAATGGTTGTTTTTTGCAGTATTTATCAATATTTTTTACTACATTTCTAACGCATTAAGGGCTGCACTTGTATATTTTGATATCTTCTTGGAAATGTGCGTATGCAATGTGTAAATTACTTTCTCTGCTCACTTCACAATAATTTACTTTTAAATACATTTTCAAAATTTCATAAAAATTGACATGCATTTGGAGGCATGCTGCTTTTAGCTAACTTGTTTCACTTATATGACTATAACTATGTTATACTGCGAATGGTTTTATGACATACCACATCATAGTTTATATCATAAAGTAGCACGTTTCTTTATCAGGTGGCTCTAACCGGTATAATGATATAAATGAAATCAGAATTAAAAAAAAACTGATTCACTTGTCTATTTTTTCCTTTTGTGTACATGCGTTATTTTTTGAAAGTTTGTTTCTACGTTGTTTTTTTTTCTTCTTTTTTTGAGTTTCTGTCGTATCTACTTTATATCTTTTGTTCAAATAGGAGAAAGTTAAGTTTTTGTTCTTTCTTTGATTGCTTTTGAGCTAGTAATTGTTATAAGTGAATGTATGGTTTATGAATCTGGATTATGTTCTATATTTAATAACAAATCATGTATGAAAATGGGAAGGATTGTATTTTTCTTTTTTTTGAAATATGAAATTAATGGGAAAGAAATGATACATAGCATGTTTATTTACCAACCCGTACGGGTTTATATAAAACCTTAACAGCAGATGGAACAGTCTGATGAGTTGATATATAAATACTGTAATAATATGTCACATTAATTTGTTGATTTTTGCAACAAAAACGTTAAAAACAGCCTGATAATAGTTACAGGACAAATTTAGAAAATCTATGTTTCAGTCGAATAAAATTACCAAAGAAGGGTGAAATGCACATAACGCATCCACTGAATAAAAGCCTGCAAAACAAGATCATCGACAATGAGCCCAGAAGAACACCAAACAAGAACAGGAGAAGGCACAAGTGCAAAGCACGGACCACGCGTTATTATGAATATTCAATATAGGAAACAAAAGAAACCGTCAATAACAATTACACAAGCATCATACATACACAATTTCCTCGCCTTTTGTAGCCTGTAGCCATGTATGACACAAAACACTATCTGCATAAATATTTATGGTAATACCAACCTTCCAATATTAACCTTCCATTATTAAACAAATTTGCTTGTAAAAATGATAAAATTATTCTTATGAAAATAAATAAATAAGGCTATTCTTATAGTTATGCATTAATGTTCACATTAACAGTTCATGATCATTTTTGAAACTGAAATTTAATTCAATTCTACTGTATGATCATAAATAAAAAGGTTGTACGGTGTCCCCTAGCATTCCGGGTTGATAATTTATAAAATATCTAATTATTCTTGCTGGCAAAATATAAATCTACCACAGGGTACGTAATAATTTGCTTGTCTGTTTTTGCACAGACTTTATTTTTCAAATGTATTCAGGTTGAAACTAGATTTCAGACAGTCAATAACCTAACACCTGTTACCATAATTGGCAGATGAATTTATTTAAGAATCTGCATCAAACTGGATCTGAAAATCCTTTCGTCACCCTTTTCAATACACATGTACACACCTTTTTCTGTTTTATTGCGTTATAAGCTATAAGCGTACATAAAAACTTTGAAATTCGAATTTGTTCATGAAACCAACCAATAATTAACAATGGGTGTGATATGCTCAATGAAATTACGGCTTGGCTCTAATTAAGTTTGAACCCACGCGACCAGCAATCAACGATGGACCGAATTTGAATAGTGTATATTCCGGAATGGTTTCATGAATTTGACATGTGTTGGTAGTCCCCAACTAATTCTCACTCTTTATTGGTACTTTTGCAGGGAGATACAGGCAAAATATTCATTTCTGCGTTTTGAATTTTCCATGCATTATTCTGTAAATGTCCTCAAAATAAATACACTAGACAATTGCAGGAATAAAACTTTTTTTCTTATGAAGAATATTTTCTTTTAAAGAATAAAGTGGTGATTTCCTAAATTGACCCACGTGGGTCAGGTTAGAGCGTTGGATTTCACAATAGTTGTCACTGAAAGTGAACCCTTGAAACGTTATTATATGTATGATAAATGGATGACTTAGACTTGTTTCAACCATAAAATATCTATTGAATCTGTTAATGTAGCTTTAAGGCTTTGTTCAAGTCACACGACTTGGTTTTTGTTTTTTTAAACTACTCTGTGATTCTTTCGGTCTATAGATTTCGTTCAACATATACACCTGCAGATAAGTTAAAGCTACATTAAATAAATATTTAAAAATATTTTTGCCGTCGGCCTGAAGACCAAGCATTCTATAGTTTCATTAATCTTTTCGACAGTATTGTTGTAAATCTCATCAAATATTGTTCATAAATTAGGATTTTAAATGGAAAACCTCACGGTAACACTAAAGTTCGTATACGAATTTTAACATGCAAATGAAGACTATAATCAGCCCGTGTATGCGCTACGTCACAGTGTTTTAGTTGCTATCCGCAACACAACAAATTTAAGATTTTCTTGTGCAAAACACACTTTAACCGTTTTAGCTTCATGGTTCACTAGGCATTCCATGGGTTCAGAAAAAGTAATTGTCTCATAAAAAAAGATTAAATTTGTATGAAAATATCCGTTACAATGCGGAAACATACCGTTAAATTAGGACTGCTACTCATAGTCATGTTTGTTGATTTAAAATTGATGTACGGATGATCTGAAGGCGGAGTTTCTCATGCAAACAGAAATTGAACTTCCGAATTCGCCACAATGAGGTTGCACATTTGCATGCTTATAAAACTCATTTTTTGATGTCTGGACACGAAAATAAGACTTTGAGTCGATATGAAACCTAATTTATTAATGAAATGTCGCTACTTCTGTTTTTATGAACTTTATTAAATGTAACTTTAAGCACACATCGGACAGTTTAAACTGGTTGTGATCACTGTCATGAGATGACGACTTAATTGAGCTAAGACAAAGAAATGGTAATGTGATAAGAAGCGATAGCAATTTAGTAATCATAAACCAGTAAATGTATGAGTTTAGTTAATTCTTAACCAAATTATTGAAGCATAGGCAAATGTGTTGTTTATTATCAAAACTGTAAGGATTTATAAGTATGGTGTTGGAGCGTTTACAAGACATTTACTGGTGGATATATTTGGTAAATGTTGACGATTACTTAACCTTATATAATATAATGTAGCCACATTTTTAATATCGTGTGTAACCATTATGTGCCCGGATGATAGCAACGACCCCAACTATCAGCACAATATCAAAAGCATGAAAATATGATGTCTATTTTGAAAATGTATTAAATTAAAACAGGAATCAGATTTGGTTTTGTTAGTAACAAGTTTCAAACATCCACACCAGTAAATTTGACGATTTGTCAAACGTAGTTTACATCATGGGCGTTTTGAAGCGTACAAAATACAAAAAAAAGATATATGCTATTAAATCAACGAATATCAACATCTGTTTTTTTAGCTTTTAGGTGTTTAGACATTTAAATATATTACGTTGCTTATAGCTACTTTATACCTTAGAGGTCCATTGAAATTATTTAAGACCTATCAAATACGATGTTTGTTTATGATTTCCTTTCCAAAAGTAAAATTATAATACTGTTTACTGTTATTTTCTTAAATACTTAAAAGACAAAACAAAGAAAATATAAGATAAGATGATTGTATTTAAGGTATATTTGTATGGAACTATTAGTTTTATTCAATCGATGAATTTGTGACATTAATTAAATCTTGAAATGCAAAGACTTCCGGGCCGCATACAGTTGGCAATAGAAATAAATTTATTAAACATGTTAAAAAGACTGAAAAACCATAAGAACAATCAACATTAAGATAATTAAAACTATCTAAAACAGTATTTTTCATGAAAACGATTTTGAATAAGATAACACAAAAAGCCAATAATCATTATAATGTGTTTGCATTTCAAAATTTTAATATAGAACCAAACAAATATATGAGACAAACGGAATAGTATGATATGACAACCTTGTATACAATACAATGCCTGAGAAACAAAGAAAAATTATATTAGCCTTAACTTGAAAGTATAAATATTAGATTTAGACAAGAACTTGGCATTCTGGTAAACCATAGTCTGTAGGAAAATGAGAGCTTTAACATTCTTGACTATTTTGTCATTGACATTGCTGTTAGGGGCGGAACACGCGTGTAAGTTAACAGTCTATATCTTATTATGTAAATGCTCATATAGCGGTCATTTAAATTTGACTGAGCTTAACGAAAATTGAAAAGAAACAAAACATTTAAATAATATTATAGATAAGATTATATAGTATAAGGCCATAATTCAAACAAGCGACACGTTCCTTAATAAATCGATCTGAATATTTAAGTAAGTTCATCTTGATGACAAAGTAAATTTCGATATAAAATGTAATAATAAATTCAGTCAAAATTTGTTTTTAGAATCGTATTCGATGCAAGTGTGTCCACAGATACAGTGTCCAAATGATGGTAACATTCCCAACAATTGCAGGGTGCCTAACTATGTGACTGGATCAGACGGGACTACCAATTGCAGAGTATGTGATTCTAACGGCTGTGCCTATAGTTGAGGTAAGCAATACTCTATTACAATTACTCAATTTTTTATTTATGTTTTGCCAATAATCAACGTCATATATTGCTCAATAAATCAATATAATTATATGACTTAAATATTGCAATATGACTTGTGTAGCATAAATATATATTATTTAATTTCAGGGACTATAATATGACTTAAATGTTGCAATATGACTTGTGTAGCATAAATAAATTATTTAATTTCAGGGACTTTTTAATCGCTTGTTTTTTATATATTTTATTAAAAATAAGTTGATGGTATTCATTTATCTGCAACCGCTGCTGCTGCAACCTTTTAAAAAGGATATCCGTACCTCATTGAAATGTGTTTTTTTTCTCGTACATTAATAAACCTATCACAATAGTAAAAATATCACTGCTCAAGCAAGTGAAATAAACAATGAAAAACCTTGCAGTTCCAACCTTTGTTTTGCATTGGAATGATCTTTTCATTGGATTTTAATTACAATTGTACTTCTTTTCATTTACAGGAATGCTTCTGATATCTTAAAAAAATTATTACTTTCTGTGTCACAATATTTCAAAATATTGTGTCTATTAACATTAATTGCTCGTATAAACTCGGTCATCTCCTGTTTAGCATTGTTTTCGCGTTTTCATCTGTATCCGTCGACGTGTTGTTTGTCGAACCTATGGCATGTATGGTACTCTTTGGATTGGTACTGTTTGGGATGCTTCAAGAAGATGTCATTTCTTATTTTATAATACACGTGCAACGTCTAGATGATAAAATGAGTATTGTTTTATCATTATAAAAGAAGCATATTTAATCTCTCATACACGGATAGTGGCGACAAATGCCGTGTTTATTCTTCGTGCATAAAAAGGTTAACATACTTTCCTTAACATAAAATATGTAATTCCCACTATTCTTTTTTTTCAGGGGAAATAACAGAAAATACATTGCCTATATGTATTTCAAGTGTTGGCTGTTATAGTGAATAAAAAGCAAAGACATATTGGATATTTGTTTCTTCCACATTCCCTTCCCCATTCTAAATGCTGGTTTAAAATATAATCTTGGAATGAAAACGTTCACGAAACGAGACACATTTCCCGCACGCTTTGGCAAATATTCCTTGTTAAGCAAACTTAATTTCTTATTAAAAAGAAGGTTAGCCCCTAGAAATAAATATTAAAATTGATAATACATGACTGTTAATTTGTAAGCACCAATATATGTGTTACATTAAAATGCATTAATGGTATAAATTATTTAATTACTTTTCTCGTGTTCCATTTGTTTAAGATGTTATGTCTTACATCGGCAGTCAACCTAGCCGGCTGTCCTTGATAGCAAACCGGTAATTACTAATATATTCATAAGTGACTAACTACTTATTCCACAGTATCTCTTCACAAGGTTAGCTTTTAAAAAAGCTAGTAGCGACTCGCTTCGTAATTTTTTTCAAGGGGTGTGTTTAAATGTAAAAATGACAGTTCTGTTAGCTGAAGAGACTTCAGCGAACATCAAAATAAAAGTGAAGTCAACACTGGCCCGGTGCCCGATGGCCAGTGTACATAAGTTCAGGCCAGTGTAAATTTAAGAAAATTTTGTTAATCATTTAGTAGAATAAATTCAAAACTGGAATTCGGGCCAGTAAATTCAAAATCTTAAACTCATTGACTGAAAGTGACATATAAAGTTCTCTCAGTTTAACCAAGATGAGTATGAGTATATATGAAGGTGCATGTAAACAGATAGAATGAAGAACCTATGTCTATGCACATTTACTATATGGCCTGTTGACCTTGACCACAAAATGTTAGATAGGTAGATTTCATAAAGATGTCTCTTTATTCAAAATTAAGTTGTAATACATGTATGTTATTTAGTATTGGAATGAGAGGCACAAGTCCTAAAGTAAACACAAGTTGTCAATCAATTCAGCCAGAAAAGCCGGGATCCTATTAAAAAATATAGGATCCGGAAATTGACCAGTCTAAGAAGATGTTTTTCAGATAAGCCGGGATCCTATTAAAACATATAGGGATCCCGGGAATTGACCAGTTCAAGAATATAGTTTTCAGAAAAGCCGGGATCGTATTAAAATGTAAATAGATCTCACGGATTGACCAGTTCAAGTATATAGTTTTCAGAAAAGCTGGGATCGTTTTAAAACATATAGGGATCCCGGGATTTGACCAATTCAAGAAAATAGTCTTTGATTTTTCCAATTAATTAGGCATATAATTATAAGTATTGTGATTTCCGCATTTTAAGTTTGTTAATAAATAGCTCTAAATATATCTATATTCTAAGTTAAATTAATTTAACGTTCATTATATACAATAATAAAAATAACGTTTAATGGCCTTTCATTACGACAACAATCAACACAAATATAGTTCATTAGGTTTTTCCTCCATATCTTATACGATCCCGGATCCCGGGCGTCCCGGATCCCGGTCAGTAAATACATACACTCAATACCGGAAAGGATAAAATGACTGGAAAAAAGGAAAAATAAAAAATGCACAGAACCAGATGTACACTTATGTTAATTAACCAAACGAAAACTTACTACAGAGAAAACAGGTGAAATCGCTAAATCAGAAGTCAGTGTAAATATGATTTATTGAAAAGAATTCATAAAGACAAACATTTTAATCATCATTATATCTTTGCGCTCAAAACAATACTTGCTGATTTTTAAAAATGGCGTGAAAATTGAAGGTTTTTTGACGCTATGTAAGATTAAATTTGATTGGCTAAATAATGTTGGATCCTAGCCCTGATAGATAAATTTTGTAGAAAGCTGGAAGCCAAGCTTCGATTAAATTTTTGGATAGCTTCGGAGTTTTAGGTTGTTTCTCAGTAAAATCCTACCGTAATACCGGCTCGCCGTGGCGAGCCGGCATCAGCAAAGAGAGACAAATGACCATAAGGGTCGAAGCAGTGATCCCTGCATTACAAGTCGTATTCTCTCCCTATTTAGCTTAGTAGAAATACCTGGTATAAAAGCAATTACTGGTCAGGGACCATCAACCGGACACTTTTTGAACATTTTTCCTATAAATTTCATGATTTTTAACCTAGAGATAAAAAAAATTGACACAGTTCAGCTAGGCTCTTCTCCTAACTAACAAACTAGTTTGTTTATTTCTGAATGTATTGACTCTAATATCTGAGGCTCGACAAGGAGGGTATCAAAATTACCTAAATTGTCAACACTACAGTACCATGTGTCCGGACAGATATGTACATGACGTGATTTAATTTAGATAAAAGCTTGGGTGCTATGATTTTTTGACTTTTAACATGATATACAATATTTCAGCAACAAATGCTGAAGTTTTGGATATTCTACTGTTTACTCTGCAAATGATTATAGCTGGTATAT